TACAGAACTGGCAGCAAGGGAAAAGAGGCCCTAATTAGATATATCAGCTAACTCTGTATTTTACACAGACAGAGCTCAAAACCTGGGATAGGGGTTTGGCCACCAGATACTTTAATTGAAAACTACAGTGTGGAAAAAATGATTAAGTGGCTAAGGGATTACTGTCTGTAGCAATAAGCAGAACCTGCTCATCCATTGGGTGAAATAATCCCATAAAGCTCACCACGGAAGGTAGCTGGCAAACAAGATGAGGGAACGGGACACTAGACGAAGCCCAGGAGCTCGGGTCCCCTCTTGAGTGGAGACCGGCTCTGATTCATCCTCCAGGTCTGACTCTGAGTGTGATGGAGGAGAGTCCCGCAGTACACATGACAGCCGAGGGGCCTTACCTTCAGGAATGAGCTGCACTGAAAGGCATAGTGCCACCAGCAACCTGACGACATCTGTGTGACACAGAGAGCTGAGGGAGCAGCAAAGGCAGGCCCAGGTAGGCGTTGTTAGGTGACTGACTGCACCCATCCCTCTCCCGGGCACCCCCGCCATAACGTGCATCCACAAGCTCTGCTGGCTCCTGCATGAGGCCGGCATATTGACGGATGACAAAAACCCACAGAGAACACTTGGATGTCTTCGGAGGCAGAGCCAGCTTGAAAACAGCAGTGGAAGGTACTGCTGTGATGAAACCTAACATTTTATCAACTTATCTGCCAAAGCTTCTGAAGGGAAAATTTAAAAATTACTGGCAAAATGAAAACTGATGCGGCTGCTACGTCATTACTGGCGATCTCCGGGTTGCAAACGCCTGAGTTGTAAACATGTCATGAACACAAACTACCAGCTGCGTTTTACTTCTACTTTTTCCACCATCTTTTTTTTCTAACAACGAAGCACCAAAAAATTGACCTGAAATCGTACGCTTTTTAGCTTTCTTCTCCTCTTTCTCTGATATGGTGTCATCATGTACACACTCACGTTTGTTTAAGTTCCTTCATCATTCTTGTTCTTCCGCTTCTTGACCAGGTAACTCACAAAAATGTCATTCACACCACCACAAAAATACTATTTGTGGACCACAAAATCAATACCAGCAAATCCCATCCTGTAAAAGCAGACTTTGGTCAAGGAAGAGGAGAAGGCCCTTAGAGATTTTGAAACGAATTTAGACATGATAAAAATCATGCCCTCCGTGCTCAAGTCTTGAGAAAAGAGTGACCTTTTGCTGGATGAGGCACACAGTTTGGTGATAGTTCTCTATATTCTAAAATGACCATAACGTCTGATGTGGCAAGTTAGCAATCGGAAATTTATCAGACGGATTTGCCCCACGGATTCAGTCACATCAGTGCAAGTGCGTGGGCGTTCACTGAAACACCGTCTGACATAGTCAACACACACGGAAGCGACAGGGCTGACCTGCGCGCCACGGCGTGCGTGTAAGAGGAAACGCTAGGCATCTGTTATCAAGAATGAGGCAGGCACTCGGGAGCTGGTCCGACAGATGCCCACCCTGTGTCTTTGGTGTGAGGATGGCTGGGGAAACAGGAAAAAAGAATGGAGGCTTTAAGGAGTTATGGGAGTGCATCGGGAATGGAAGTGTATGGATGTACGCGGAACATTTCAGCAAAGAACTGACCACCATGGTTATCTCTTGGGAATGGGACGAGAGTTTGAACGATGAGGGTGATCTTTAGCTTCGTGTTTTTTGAAGATGTCCTTTTCTAAAAGTACGTACTATTCTTACCACAAAAGTTAAGTTACCAGAACATGTGTGACTATGTTGAAAGTCCCCCTCGAAGTCTTAAAAAGCTTCTGTATCTCCCTATCACTCTCTGGTTCCTTAAGAAAATCAAGTTTAATTCGTATTCTACATAATTTAAATCGAATTTAAAATTATGTTCAATTTTATTTGTATATTTCTTTTTTTTTTCTTCAAATTTATAGCATATGTTGATGATATTATGGGCTACTCAGGCAACCTCGCCATCATCTATGATACATTCTTCAACAAGAAAGCGATTTTCAAGTTCCTAAACTACCACCGGCAAACAAACTTTTGGAATTCAGTTCATCTTATACTTAATATTTGACTGAATTAAATTTTTAAATAAAATTTATAAAATGCGTTTAAGTTACTTTCATCTGCTTACTGTTTATGATGCTAAGGTTCAGATGACTATGCCAATATAATCATAGACATAACACACAGATACTCTCAGAAGAAATATGTTGTATGCGAATCATTTCCAACTTGCTTTATGAAATCTAAAGAACTTACTATTGTGTTCCATCATAAAAGAACTTCCATCGAGTACCAATAAATGACAGAGGAGCGAGAAGGGAGCTCAGGGCGACGTGACGATTTGGAACATAGACACTTTCTCCTGTGCGGTCGGCAGTGAGAACTTAGCGAAGGTCGGGAGTGACGACATCATCACCAGAGACCTGACCGCAACCTGGTTGTTGCAAACGGTACATTAACACTGTAACGCCGTTATGGCAGATGGCAGTGCAGCCCCCTTTGGGCAACTCCTGCCTAGTTAACCGCCCGTGTCCTTGGCTAAAGGTGAACAAGAAGCCCGCCCGGAGCATTTTGGAGGGAGATGGTGTACACGGCTGATGGTCCGCAGTGAGCATTCCCTCATGCACCTCTGGGGGGCAAAAGCCACCCCGGCTTCGGAATCCCTGCCTCACATCTTAGACATCTAGAGGGCTCGCAGGGCACCTGCCCCTTCGTTCCTCATTTTCACTTTTGTCCACGCTAAAGGGAAAAAAGGCAACGTGTGACAGCATCCACCCCCTTCATTTCATCAACTGCGTTGGTTCTGATTACTTACAGCTCTTTCCTCCATTCCCCCTTAGAAAGCGAACGGTTCCGATCTCACTCATTTGCAATGGATCAGGGCAGACGATTTCCTGAGCTACAGCGCATCGCAGAGCAGCGACTCCTTAATAAGCTCCAGCGAAGAGGCTTGGAAACGCGTCGCCCAGCGTCAGAACGGCGTGTTCACTTACAGAGAGGCTATGACCTGACAAACACCAGGAAAATGCAACCTAATGTATTCCAAACAACACGGAGTATGTGCCGGTGGACTTGGCCTCGCTTATTTGAGAGGCCTTGGTAGGTGTGGGGAAAAGAGGGTTCAAACACGCGCAGAAGCGCCTTGAAGGCGTGCGGCCTTCCTTGTGACGTGGGGGCCGAAACAGGGTTTCCGAGCTCAGAGGGCAGCCTGGGTGATCCAGGGGAGGCTGTAGCAGGCAGGGGCACTGCACGCCCAGCAATGTGGAGCCAGTGGCTGCTGGGGAGGCCTGGAGAGAGAGGCTTTTCTCAGTCGGCCTCTCCTGGCTGGAGTGTGTCACTCACCCGGCAGCCTGGGGTTTGGCTTCTTGAGACCAAGCCCTGGAGTTCAGACGGGTCATACTGACTGCCCCCTGCCTGCCTCTCCCTGCAACACGGAGGCGCAGAGAAAGAAAGCCTTATCTCTTTGTGTTCAATTCATATTTTCTGAGAACCCACAAGATTCATCATATTGAAGACACATCTCACGCTCATGGGAAAGTCTATAGTCAGCCCTGCAGGCAATCTCTGATAAGTTTGATTAAAGCTGACTCACAGTCTGGCTTCTGAAGCTATGCGACCACAAGGCAGTGGAAGAAATAACCTACATAGTTCTGAAAACACCCTCGGGGTCACCCCGGTGCCATCAGTGGCCTACAAACCTCTGCCATCCACCTGGGGTCTTCGCCACCTGCAGGTTCCTCTTGGCCTGCCCCACACCCCCGGCCCAGGCCTGGTTTCCCAACCAAGTGTCTCATTTCCAGCCTCCTACCTCTGCCTGAACCGATATCCTAGACTCTAGACTTGCTTCCGGTCTCGTCACGTTGGTCCTGGCTACACCCCCTCTCAGTTGTCTCCTGAGGCTCTTCCTCAGCTGGGGACAGGCAGTACCCTGCTCTCTGCCTCCCTCCCCTCCTCCCCTTAGAGCCACCCCCCTGCCCGCTGTCCCACACTGCAGGGGTCTGGACCTGGGTGCTCCCTCTGCTCAGCCACTCAGGACTGACGTCATGTTTGCATGGTCTTCAGAGCTACCCAGAATGGCGAGCCCGTTCTCCAGGGCCCTTCCCCACCCGCCCCCGGTCCCAGATTCTTTCGGGCACTTTCCCAGAAGTGAGCGACCTTGTTCTGTGCTGTAAATAGTTATTCCAACCTCAGACGACGGCACATATGTCTCTGCGCCCTTTTCCTTGGACCGATCTGTCTCGACTTCCAAACTCGTGCTGTCGGTTGGCCCACGGCCGACCAGGGCCCCGCCCCTACCAGCACCCAACTCTCAGCACCAGACTCAGCACCGCCAAAGCTCCGCAAGGTTACGAGACCATAAAGGGACCGATGCTCCTGGTCCAGCGGAGCTGAGGCCAGACAAGAAACGATGAATTAGCAACAGCTCCCTCACCTGACCCGATGACATGTGTGAGCAGGGCTGTCTCCCCGCTGTCTCGCTTGGGTCACAAGGATCATGAGGTCAAATGCTTCGAGTGAAGGAACCCTGGGACCTGAAAGGCCCTGACAAATGGAGGAGACCATCGTTACCGTCAGCCAGACTGGGGCCCTGCACCGGCCACGCTCACCTGGGTCAGCAGAGGCCAGTGACACAGCCTCCCCGACTCCAGCCGAGCTGCGTGCCTCTCTCCGTCTCCCCCAGAACTCTGTGCTCGCTTCTGTCACCGCAAGCGGCACACCGAATTGTAATCATCGTCTCCACACGGAGACAGCATCTCATTAGTTTCTGCACACCCACAGCGTGTGACACAGGGAAGGAACTCTACAACTGACAAATGAATGCGTAAGTGAGCGCACAAAGGAGTGACTAGAACAAGGTTTGGTTTTCCACACCGATCGAGAAGCACATGAGAACACTCAATAGAAAGCAGTAATCAGAATGACTTCGTGACGCCGATCCTGTGCCCACAGCCTTGGCTTCAGCCCTCTCCCAGGGACCTACCTGTACGGCTCCATGGTCCGGATGCCATAGAACAAAGCCTCCTCCAGCAGACCGAGGTTGATGCAGGCGTCCATGGCACAGTCGAGCACCTTCAGCTGGTAGATGTTGATGTCGGGGAGCCGTTCCGAGTTGCTGCTTATGATGGCCTGGCACATGGCCAGAACCTGTTCCCACTCTGTTATTAACCCGAGTTAAGGACTCATTGTCTTCACCAAGAAAAAAAAATGCAAAGCGAGGTTCTCGAAAAGGCTGAAGTGCTCCCAGGCCCAGGAGGGAAGGAAGAACCCATTATTTCGCAGATGAGCTGCCTGAAAACACACTTGAGAGACAAAAACGGGTAAGTGGCATCTCAGAGAAGTAACTTCTGTTTATATCAACAAACCATCTTCTAACCGAGTCTGAGCGTTAGGGGATGAGGGTTTCCACAGAGCTGTTCTTTCTTCATACCCCTAAATGTGCTCTCTTTAAGCCCTGCTGTGGAATAGACTGAACTAAAGATTGAGTCAGTTCGGTTTAAAATTATTTACTCTGTTAGCTTCTGTTTCAAAACTGACCTGAAATTAAAGAAGCTTCCTTTTTTAAAAGGAGGCGCGCAGTATTGCCTCTGTGCCACTTGAATCCTGGGGCATGCATGAAACAATACACAACCCACGGGCACTTACTAGGGGAAGCAATTTGAAGAAATTCATTTCTACTGGCTCTCATGTTTAAGCTTTTTTGACTATAAAGCACAAGTGACCAAAGCCTATACTGAACCAAAGAAAGATATGCTTCTTTTAAACGCCCCAAATAAAAGATAATATTAAGAACACAGCTTATGCACATAAACTGCAGCCAGGGGGAACAGCACTTTGAAGAGGCTGGGAAAAGACCCAATGTCCATGTACGGGCACCTCCGACCTCCTGATTAACCGTGCGTCCAGAGCTTACTCTCATGGAGCCCTGGTGTGACCTCACTTTTTGGAAGTGCTATTCCCTGTCCCCTGATGAGGCAGGCAGGGGACTGAGGACGTGGTGTATGGAGCGTGTCTTGAATCCCACTGAGGCGAATTACCACGGAAGCATGGCTGAAGCGACAGCGCAGGCGCCCAAGGACCTCACGCGGTTACTTTCTGCTGTGTTACTTTCTGCGGTTACTTTCTGCAGTGCTGCTGTGTTAGGAGAGGCGGAGGCCGAGGAGGATGCTGGAATGCGGCCGGCCCTTCCATCCCTCCCCGACCTTCAACTTATGAGGTTCCAAATTCATCTGCTTTCACATGCTGGAATTCCTCTGGGGCGAAAGGTCTGCAGACTTCAGATGAAGCAGAAATGGCGCAGCCTTTGACTATAGACAAAGCTGGATTTAAATCTAAGCTAGTTCTGTCATTTGTCAGTGTTGAGGTTCTGAGCAAATTGCCTAAGTGCTTTGAGGTAGACCAGAAATAAAAATGCCTCATGTCACTGTAGGATTAAATAAGACAGTGCACGTAAAGTTCTAAAAACTGATTTACGTGTTCCACCGTGACCCAGGCAGAGCTCTGGGTGCCAGGGACACAGAGGGAAGGCGTTTAGTGGCACACGCGAAATACACACTATGCAAACGTTAGTGCCTTTGTCCTCCCTGTACTGCATCATGACCTCTGAGTGTGACTCGGCTTCAGGAAAACAGTTCAGTGGACTGAGTTCGATCGAATGTCCCCCCCTCCACCCACACCCCGCCTCACGCCACACAATCCAGCTCTTCAGCACCCAGTGCTCTGGCCCCTCCCCCAACCCCAAGCCCTCTTCCTTGGGGTCCTGACACGCACACCTCACCCTGAACCCCATGCCCCAAGGCTCCTTAATCCCTCCCTCCAGCAAAATCTACCTCCTCCAGCATCCACATTCAGGGCACTGCTGTCCCAACATTAGCAAACACTCTCGATAAACTGATCCAGCCACTCGTGTGAGTGGGGTGTGATATCTTCATTAACCCTCACGAGAAATATATTTTCTGTCAGTGGGGGCTCCGAGAGACAACGCCTGACCCCAAAGGTAAGACTTCCTTGGTTAGGACGTCAGCACCACCACATGCGCTGGGGGCCTCTATGTCACACTTCCTACACGTGACACTCTGTAATGTTAGGGTGAGTCCTGTCTCGGAGGAGTCGACACTGGTCTCAGAAGAAAAGTGAGCTGGTGGCTTTCTTTTGCATTCATCTGACATGTATGTTTCAAGTTTGCTGAATGCATCTCCCAGAGGCTGGGGAAGCAGTGTCCTTGGCAACGCACTGGTTTTGTAACAGATCGCCAGGCTAAGCTCAGTGGCTTTTCATTCCAGGATTAGATACTTGATGACATCTCAGGAGGAATGGCCATCTCTTACACAACGCCTAGACGTTTCTGTGGCAAGACTTTGCACCTAATTTTCACATCGTGCTGTTTGACCTCCATTAGTATTTGCTTGTTCGTTTACATACGCTCCAACTCATCTTAAAGCGGTTTGAAGTGACAAACCTTTGCAGTGAAAACCAGGTGAGATACCCTGCAGCCCCCGATGGGAATACACCTGCTTGTGCCCCGCAGCGAGCTGCAAGAGACTGCACGCCAATTTCCCTCCGCAACACTGGCAACCGTCTCCTGGCAAACGAGGCAAACTTTCCCTGTAAAACACCCCAGTGAGCAAAAAAAAAAAAGGAATAATTTTGACTAAGAGGCTTTTCCCCCTAAGCCATGTGTATTTGCTCAAAAATTTAGTCACTGGCATTTGCTCGGTGTTTACAAGTCCTTCTGGTCCAGTGAGGAGGTGAGCTTGGGACCTAGGCAGAGAACAGACTATCGGTGGACAGAATAGATCCTCTTCTTGAAAACTTTAAAATGGCCATAAGAGGATTTGGGGGAAAGAGAAAGGGGAACCAAGTGAATCCCCTTGAGAATTAATCAGCGCCTTGAGACTCAGACTATCGGGCCACAGGGCTTTTATTCACCGAATCACATTAGTCTATTGCTTAAAACCTTCCCGCCGTCCCCTCTCACCTATAAAGTCTGTCCTCTGTGCGTGACATTCAAGGCTTTCCCACGTTCTCTCTTCTCACACTGAATAAAGGGTGACCTCTCAACAGCACGCTACTTCACCTTACAGACGTCTGGCCAGTCCCCCTGAGGGGCCCCTGCTCCACTGTGCCGGCCTGGTGAACTCCTACCAACCCTTCCAGTCACAGCTCAGTTGTCACCTCCTCCGTGAAACCTCCTCTCACCTCCCAAAGCTGGCTACTGTGCCTCTGAGGCCCGTGTACCGCACACAGGCGCACCTTGGAGGTATTGCGGGTTTCGTTCCGGACCGCCACAATAAAGCGCATGGTCATCTTTTCAGTGGTGGAGGGTCTTGCTTTCAATTAGTAAAAAATGCAACATCTGAGAAGTGCGGTAAAGTGAAGCACGATAAAACAAGCTGCGCCTGTATTTTACCAAAATATGTATTAATTTACATTTTTACACGCCCCTATGTGTGAGCGTTGTGAATTCAGGGTTGTGTCTTCCTGTCTAGACCTGGGGCGGACCATAACTGGTGGAGGCACATGCATAGTGTCAGTTTTCAGTAAAGCCTTGTCCAACTGAGACTGAACGTAGCTCAGTCATCCGTGGGCCCTGATTCCATGGCTGGGACCGCACAGAACGAGTCCACCCCTCTGCAGTGCGACAGCTCCCTGAGCCCAAGAATGGCTCTCTGGCTCCCAAATTTGACTGTTTTCCTAATATCGCCCATCTGGTCTACAGACAGGGTGTCAAAATCCATTTCGATCCTGCTTCCTCTTCTCAAAACTTATTTCAGTTTTTCTATGTCCCTTTTAATATGTTTTACCCCAAAGTGAAGAGAAATTTTCAGATATGATCAGATGATACTATCACCCTCTCATTTTCTATTCTCTATTAATTCTCTATTTCCATTAATGTTGCCCAAGATCACAGTGGTCTTTCGGGGCATTATATTATACTCTTAAATTTTATTCAATTTTTGCTATTCACTAAACCCTTAAAATTCTTTCACGTGTTCTGCTGCTAATCTTTAAGTATATCTATACACTTGAACTTTTTAAACCAAACAGAAGATTTTCTATACGCTCTTGTTGAATTTCATCCTTTTAGACTCGGGAAGCTTTCCAGCCTTCGGGGGTCTTTTGAGCTCTCGATTCTATCATCCGACCTCTGCCACCTCCCCCGCTACAGGCCTCTGAGAATTCGATGAGCCTGTGCTCCGTGTCTTCATCTGAGGTACAGAATCAGAGGTGAAAGAGGACTGAATAGGGACAGAGCGCTCAGAGTGACAGTGGGCCACTTAGCGGCATGTTTTCAGTGCAGCTCTTCAACCATTCAGTAAGACGCGTGGTCATGCCAGCCTCCAGCACACGTGCCTTGACTACTTTTCATCAAATCGCTTTCTGAAACCCACAACCCTTCCCGAGAACACCATGACTGCACAGACTCACCTGCTCTTGGCGGACCAAGCCGGTGCCCTGGTAGCCACGGCCTCCTTCTCCAATCTCTGGTCACCAATTCTAGATTCTTTACCAAAACCACTAAAACTAACACACAAACAAAAAACAACCTCACTGGGCTATAGATTTCAGGAATTATGTCACCTTTAAAAATAGGAACGTTTGTATAACTACCTTTCGTATCCTTTACAAATCTTTCCAGAACACTGTAGATTAGAAACTTCATTTGCAGCTTTGCTCATGATTGGGATGTTGTTTAACAAGGCATCTGAATGACCTTCCACAATCTTTTTTATCAATCTTGGTCTTTTTCTTTTTACCTTGCGGTTTCCCTTTGTCACGTTTTTGCTCAAGTAAACTCCTCTACTGGATGTGACCTCCCTCCCAGCCTCTGCCTCTGCAAACCCTGTCCCTGATTCAGGATACCGCTCATACCTAGAGCATCGGTTGGGCCTTCCCAGGTGACCTCCATCATTAGTGACCTCTCCTTACGCTGAACTCTGACCCACTAATGGTCTTTACCAGTATTCTCCATCCACGGTTGGTAATCCATGTATGTGGAGGGCCGACCTCAATTATACATGGATTTTTGACTGTATGGTGGGCCGGTGCCCCTAACAGCCACATCGTTCAAGGGTAAACTATATTTATGCCAAGAAAATTTACTGTGCAGCAACTCTCATAGCCATTGTAGTCATGGTTGATTTAATATGCAGTTTCTAGATCTGAGGGTCAATTACATTAAATTGTAAGGATTCTAAGTTATTCTTTCTTAGAGATGTAGGTTATAAGAAGAAGGGGAACCAGAAATGTGTTACCTTTTACATACAAAGAGACTGCTACTCGCCGTCCTACGATTACTGGACCGTGCATTTTGATATTATCTAAAAGTGGCAAGGTGTTCACGGTGATCTCTCCTCGATCTTCCCCAGCCATTACCCAGATGTTGGCTGGGGTCAGGAGTGCGGCCTGTGACTATGAAACTCACCGAGAGGTCAAACCTTGGCTTTTGCTTCATTAATACCAATAAGGAAGCGATCCAACAGTGCAACTCAACACACGGGTAAAAAGGATACTCCAATGTGCCTTCAGTTCTTCGATTTTTTTCAAGGATTCTTGAACTTCCTTCCATACTTGTTCGTCACCAGTTAGCATATCAGCATCCTGACCAGGCCAAATTAAAAGAACAGAAAGGAGGACAAAATTACTCAATTAAAAAAATGGGCAAAGGATATGAATAGACATTTCTCCAAAGAAGATGTGCAAATGGCCAACGAGCGCATGAAAGATTCCTAGCATCATTAGCCATTAGAGAAATGTGAATGAAAACCGCAATGAGATATCACTTGACACCCACTAGGATGGCTATAATCAAAAAGACAAACAATAACAAGTGTTGGTAAGTATGCGGAAAAACAGGAACTCTCATACACTATTGATAGGAATGTAAAATGGTACAGCCACTTTGAAAACCAATCTGGCAGTTTCTCAAAAAGGTCAAACACAGAATTACCATATCATTTAACAATTTCACACCTTGAGATAGAATAAAAATACATGTTCACACAAAACTTATACATAAATGTTCAGAACAGCATTATTTATAATAGCAAAACAAGTAGATAAAACCCAAATGTCCATCAAATGATAAATTTTAAAAATGTGGCATATTCATACAATGGAATACTGGTTGGCAATAAAAAGAAATGAAGTACTGACACATGCTAAAATATGGCCAAACCTTGAAAACGTGCTGCTACGTGAAAGACGCCAGTCGCAGAGAGTTATGTATTATCAGACTCCACTAAGATGAAATGTTCACGACAGGCAAATTCATAGATACAGAAAGTAGATTAATATTTGGCTAAGGCTGGGTGGGGCGGGGGACGGGGCGTTGCAGAGAATTGGGGAATGACTGCCGAAGAGTACACGGTTTCTTGGTGGGGTGATGGAAATGTTCTAAAATTGATGGTGATGGTTACACAATTCCATGAATACACTAAAAGCTATCAAACTGTACACTTTAACTGACTGAATTGTATGGCATGTGAATTATATCTCGATAAAGTTGATACGTAAATATGGGTTTATCTCTATCTCTGTATCTAAAAGACGGGACGGGGATGAGGGGTAAGAGTAAGAATTATTTGTTAGGAGACCTACAGATAATGCTTTAATCAATATGGAGTTATCAATCAACACGAGGCTAGGAAAAAGAGATGAGTACAATCATACTCACACAGGTGAACCAATTTTGACTTCTGCAAAAACTAAATATAATCAGTATAACTCCCAATAATTTAAAAAGCAACTCAAAACAAAATAAAAGTATGAGTTACTATTTAGTAAATGTCTATCCTCCTGTGTAGTAAGCAGGTCCTCTATTTTTCCTGTAGATCCACACTTCGAGTCAATAGCCACATGTGGCTGTGGCTACCGTATTGGACAGTATTAGATATAGAATAGTTCTGCCATCACAGAAATTTCTATTGGATAGCTGCAAAAAGAGGCTAATCAAAGGGTAAGAAACTCTCATCAGACACTATTCAAAACCCATGTTCAATATCCTTTAGATTCTCAATGGGCGTCAGAGAGAAGAACCATCCTAGGAAGTTATGTCAAATCACAGCCAATGCAGGGGTGATGCCGACAATGAAGAGGGCAGATTTTTTCAGACCATATGAATCCCTAGAGATTCGTATATGTCTACTTGGCGAAGTTTATAGAACGACCCCTGAGAAAACCACTGCCAGACTAAGCCTACGTTACTGGTGGGAAGATACGTGTCATTGCCCAGGTGTACCAGGGCAGAAAAAAATAAGGGGCGGGGGGCACAGAGAAGCAGAAAAGAGACCCCAAGAAAATGGTAAGGCAGTGAGTGTGTGTGTATGAGAAAATGTTTGTGCTTGTGGGAGCGTGTCTGTGTGACAGGCCTTTCTGATCTCTATGTATATGTATTGTGTATAGGTGTAATATAATAGGGTTTTTTTTTTAAAAAAAAAAAACACACTATAAGTACACTCTATCTCTTGTAGGAAATTGGCAATAAGTACCTAGCTTTCTGTACTTAGAAGAGAAAATCAAAGTCAATTGCTTTGAAAAAGGTGCACATCAACCTCCCTCCAAATACCTGCTCTGAGTCCGTATTCGTCTGCTAAAGCTTCAGTTCCGTCATCTCACTCCAAAGCCATCGGCAACTTCCTAGTGCCTCCCAGATAAAGTCTGCATCTTAAGTCTCGACAACCATGGCCACCCATGATTAAATTGTCTCCGACGAGTGTCTCACTTGCTGTTAGACTCTCTGGCGGGCAGGGGTAACGGACCCTCAAAGCTGCCCACGCCCTGATCCGGTGGCTCCTAGAACCTGTGAATATGTTATTAGCTTACGTGGGGAATTAAGTCGCGAGTGGGATTAAGGAGACTGTCCTGGACCATCCAGCTGGTCCCCAAGGAATCCCTAGGCCTTAAAGATGGACTAGGGAGGTAGAAGAGGAGGTCAGAGTGGTGTGACGTGAGAAGGACCTAACCTGTCACTGTGGCTCTGAAGAGGGAGGAAGGGACCCTGGACGCAGGAGTGCAGGCAGCCTTTAGAACCTGGCAGAGGCGAGGAGACACAATCTTTCTGGAGCCTCCAGAAAGAAACGCAGCCCCACCATGACCTTGACTTTAGCCAAGACCAGTGAGACCTGTGTCAGGCTTCTGACCTACAGAACTGTAAGATAATAAAGTTGTGTTGTTTTAAACCACCAAGTTTGTGATAATTTATTACAGCAGCCACAGGAAACTAATACACTCCCTTATATACCGAACAATAAATCTAGTTCCAGAGCCTACGCTCTTTCCACTATTTTCATGTTTAATTTTTTTAAATTTTATTGTATTAGTTTCAGGTATATAGTACATCAGTTAGACATTTACATAGTTTATAAAACAATCCCCTTGATTGCTCTTTCTCTCTTAAATTTTTCTCCTAGGTTTGCTGAATGGTGAAACTCATGTCTGTGAGATAGTAAGTTCCAAAAATCCTCGACCCGTGGTTCCTATGATCTTCCTAGTATGAGCACTTGAAAGGGGCAGTCAAACCCTCCAACACGGAACCCACAGAGGCTCTTACACTCTTCCATCCCGCTGGGTGCGGCTGTGGCCCCAGGCAGAACAATTTCATATGGGAATTACATCCACAACTAAACCCCCACCACAATCTGATTAGCTGTACTTTGCCCTGATCTAAAGACTATTTACTTATTGGAAGAGCAGGCAAGCTTTGAAATTGCTTCAAACCTTCAGAAATAATAGCTCTCGAGAGCACATTATATCAGAGCTAACAAAGCTACATCCATCAGCAGCTCGCTGCGAACTCCGTGCAAGGTCCGCCACGGTGTCTGCTTTCCTAGGTTCCCCGGTCACCTCGCTCTCACCCCCGTCCCCTGACC